TGATTTTTACCCTTTTGTACCCATGTTTAAGTTTCCACATTAAAAATATTGTTAGCACCTCTCAGGCAACCATCTCAAAATCAAATAAAAAAATCAAATTATTAAATGCATATAATTTTTTTACCTTTTTCTCAGTTAATCTTGTTAACAGTAAAACCACTTCATCTCTGTGCTCTTCATTCTTCATTCTATAAAATTGTTACTTCAGCGGAACAAAATTTACCCAGCAGTTCCTACTTCAGCCTTTAATTACCTGAATAATTATTACGGCCCAAAGAGACTTCGTTCTAAAATCTGAAATGTTCAATACTCAGCGACTTGTGGTGCCAGTGGCTACTGTTTGATTGGCTTCTGATGCAGCGAGCGTTATGCTAATTCCCTTCGTGTGGGCCTCACGGGTCCCCACAATCCCTTCACCCAGAAGAGGGGATGAGGGACACGGAGGCTAACTTTATTGTTTTCTTCCACAATTCTTAACAATTCTTCAGTGGTGTCTGACAGTTTACCGACCGCCAGTCGAGACAAGAAAAGCGGTGGGACGTCCTGGGTGTTAAAGATTTCCTCCATCATTAATGACCCAGAGAGCGTGGCGTTAGTGTGTGTGTGGCCTGTACTGGAGACACATAAAAGGATACGCAGAGTTAAATAAACATACTCCTGACATAGACCCAGCGTTGCAGCTTCGAAGGCGTTCTCGTTGAACAGGGGCGGGAGGTCGGAGTAAAAAGTGGTCAAGGTTTGTGTCTTCGTCTCTCCTATAAAAGGGCCATCTCTGGGCCAGATGGATCGTGTAGGTGGCTCCCAGCTGCTCCCATTAGGAAACTCTGGAAGTTTCCCTGGAGTGATTTAGAAAGTGTGTGGAACATTCTGGAGGGCGGGACTATGGTGAACAGGAGGCAGACTACTGGGCAGTACAACAGTCTTGCCCTCTGATTCCAAACATTTGCCAAGAGGAAGGAAGTCGCCGCTTCCTCTGGCTTCAGTGCGGCAGCACCTGCGGCTGAGAGAGGCGAGTTCCGTGGGTTAGCTAGTCCCTCTGTGCACATGCAGATCCCACGCGCTGAGAGCCCCAGGGACACCCGGGTTTATAAGCGATGTTACCCCACGGCCAGTGAACAGTCAGCAGTAATACTGATGAGGATGGACTGCTCATTTGGGCTGCTTCAGATCTGCTTAAAACTTATTAGAGAACAAATTGTAGATTGAAATAAAAGGTTTTGGTACTAGGAATAAATTTGTCTTCACTCAATTTTGCCAGTTCTTTAAAGAATGATTTAAAAAGAGATTAGCCCGGCCGGTGTGGCTCAGTGGTTGAGCATCGATCTATGAACCAGGACGTTACATGTTCCATTTCTGGTCAAGGGCACATGCCCGGGTTGTGGGCTCCATCCCCGCTGTGGGGCATGTAGGTGGGAGGCAGTCGATCGATGATTCTCTCTCATCATTGATGTTTCTCTCTCTCTTTCCCTTCCTCTCCAAAATCAATACAAATATATTTTAAAAATGAATAAGTAATAAAAAGAGATTACTTTCAAAAGTGTTTCAAAACTTTCCATGAGCTTCAGGTGCCTTGATTCAGTGTAAAGCAGAAGCAGATATATCACTTTCTTGGTGTTTGGGGGTCAGTCTGGCGCTGACATCGGAAACCTGTCTCAGGTGTGCCAGCCTCCAGAGGTGGTTACAGCGTCGCCACAGGCTGGCTTTGAAGGAAGGCAGCGACCACAGGCTCTGTGCCTGACAGGGGGCGGCGCTACAACCTCCCCATTGACCCTGCCCTGAGTGTGACAGGGGAAGTCACCCCAACCCCCTGATCCGCCCTGCTCTGTGCCTGACAGGGGGTGGCATCCCAACCTCCCGATCCACCTGCTCTATGTGTGACAGGGGGAGGCATCACAACCCCCCGATCAACCCTGCTCTGTGCGTGTCAGGGGGGAGCTCCCCAGCCCCCTGATCCGCCCTGCTCTGTGCGTGACAGGGGGCAGTGCCCCAACCCCCTGATCAGCCCTACTCTATGTTTGACAGGAGGCAGTGCCCCAGTCCCCTGATTGGCCCTGCTCTTTTTGTGACAGGGGGTGGTGCCACAACCTCCCGACCCCCCCTGCTCTGTGTGTGACAGGGGAAGGCACCCCACCCCCCTGATACACCCTGCTCTGTGCGTGACAGGGGGCTGCACCCCAACCCCCTGATCAGCCCTGCTCTGCACGTGACAGGGGGCGGCATCGCAACCTCCTGATCTGCCCTGCTCTGTGTGTGACAGGGTTCGGCGCCCCAACTCCCTGATTGGCCCTGCTCTGTGTGTGACAGGGAAAGGTGCCCCAACCTCCTGATCTGCCCTGCTCTGTGTGTGATAGGGGGCAGCGCCCCAACTCCCTGATCGGCCCTGCTCTGTGTGTGATAGGGGGCTGCACCCCAACCACCTTATTGGCCCTGCTCTGTGCATGACAGGGGACAGCACCCCAACCCCCTGATCTGCCCTGCTCTGTGTGTGATAGGGGGTGGAACCCCAACTCCCTGATCAGCCCTGCCCTGAGTGTGACAGGGGGCAGTGCCCCAAACCCCCAATTGGTCCTGCTCTGTGGGTGACAGGGGGCAGCGCCCCAACCCCCTGATAGGCCCTGCTCTGTGTGTGACAGGGGAAGGCGCCACAACCTCCCCATCTGCCCTGCTCTGTTCATGACCGGGGGAGCTCCCCAACCCCCCGATCGGCCCTGCTCTGTGTGTGACAAGGAGCAGCACCCCAACTCCATGATTGGCCATGCTCTGTGTGAGACAGGGGTCGGCACCCCAACCCCCCGATTGACCCTGCTCTGTGCGTGTCAGGGGGCGGCGCCCCTTCCCCCAGATCAGCCCTGCCCTAAGCATGACAGGGGGTGGCACCCCAACTCCCGGATCGGCCCTGCTCTGAGCCCGACCAGGGCTGCTCCTAGGGATTGGGCCTGCCTTCTGCCACCTGGGAGTGGGCATAAGCCAGCAGGTCGTTGTCTCCCGAGGGGTCCCAGACTGTGAGAGGGCACAAGTGGGGCTGAGGGACACACCCCCCCCTGCCAGTGCACAAATTTTTGTGCACCGGGCCTCTATTCCTTTATAATGTCCCTAGAAAAGACAGGATGGGGTTTTTCTATCAGCACCGTCTTATAGCAATGTTCCCCAAATGCACTCCTGCGGGATTGTCCAGTATTCAAGAAGGAAAAGGTCGGGCATTTATTTTCACACAGCGCCGCATAGCCAGGCTTTCCTAACCTCTTCCTCCTCCATTCCTCACTTGTCCTATATAGTCAATCCCAAATTCATATTTAATAGGGAGTACATTTTATTTTATTTTAAATATATTTTTATTGATTTCAGAGAGGAAGGAAGAGGGGGAGAGAGAGAAAGAGAGACATCAGTGATGAGAGAGAATCATTGATCGGCTGCCTCCTTCACGCCCCCTACTGGGGATCGAGTCCACAACCCTGGCATGTGCCCTTGACCAGAATTGAACCTGGGACCCTTCAGTCTGAAGGCTGATGCTCTATCCATGAGCCAAACCTGTAGGACAATAGGGAGTTTATTTTAGCAAAGAACATGTGCATCCAATGAGTCTTGTTAATCTATTAGTTTTTAGTTTGTATTTTTTTCATTGTTGGATACGCGTTGATGTGAGGTTGTATGATAGTCACAGGCATTAGAGAGCATTCCTACTCTCTTCCTTGATCATGTAAAATGCGTGTCATTCCAAACATCTTGGTCTACGAATGGGAAGCCTGTGTTTTTTCTCTTGTAAAGGGAACAGATGTTGTTTAAGTTTTAGAAACACTTCCCTGGAGAACTCTTGTGACTGGGGCTAACCAGCCACCTGTTACAGAGCAGACCGGCCGGGAGGACAGGGATCGGCAGAGCCAGGGGCCTGGAGCCAGGGGCGGGGGGCTGCTTGGATGGCGGACCTGGCGAGGAGGGCTCTCTCTGTGTCGCGCCCGCTCTCCCAGGAAGGAGGGCCTGACGCATCCTGGTATAATTTTTGTCTTGTCTTGTCTATTTGGGAGCCAGCTGCTCAGAGCTCAGCGTGAGGCTCGGCTGCCACACGGGCGGCGGGGTGGGCTCTGCGGGGAGTTTCCACGCTTCTGGGTCTGAGACACCTTGTGAAACACTGGCTGCCTCTGGAGGGTGGTGGGGGTGCTGAGTGGGCTTTGCAGAGGGAGCAACCGTTCTGGTGGCTAATGTGGCGGCAGCTCACTGTCTATGGGGGGCAATGGGTTACAGCTGTGAGCATGGGAAGCATAGTTTATTCTTGTGTTTTATTTGTGTATTGTATTATTTATTTTTATTAATCTATTTTACCCATCCTGTATATATTATATTAATGTACTAACACATTAACAAAGTGATTATAATAATTATACTAATTATATTATTATATTAATTGTATTATATTTATTCTGTTATATTTCATTATATTATATTTTATTTCATATTCTCTCTGAGTCCTGTATGATCTAGGTGACTACCCACCCACCCATCCCCATGTTTCCATCTGGTGCCTGTGCCGCCTGGATTTCTGAGCCTGTGTGAGTCCTATTGCTTTTTTTTTTTTGTATATCGTGTCCCAACATGTTGAAAGATTGTTACGATAAAACTAATTTACAATCCAATTGCAAAGCCACTTTCCTGTCAGCACATACACATTTTAAATAGATAAGTCACATCTTGAAGCATCTCCTTTCGTTCCCCGTGTATGTTGCGGTTTGGGTGGCACGCGTGTTGAGGCCCACACGGGGAGTCTGGCGTCTGAACAAACAGCAAGGCGGGGCGAGAGGCAGGGGGTGCCCCTGGGCCAGCGATAGAGACAGAGACGTGATCGAGCTCACCGTGCCCTCTTCAGGGACAACGGGAAAAGTACTGACAGACTCGAGAGTCTGAAAAGCTGGTGTAATTGTTGAAAAGCACAGTTCTAATGTCCATCCCACTTCTGTTGTTAACATGTTATCTTTCTGGCACCAATTTCAAAAAAATAACGTTCTTACCCCAGACTGCGGCTTTCCTCTTGGCACGGCCGGGAGTGGAGGAGGCAGTGGGCTGGGCGCTGTCATCTGCGGGGAGAGTGCAGCCAGTTAACACGCGAGACACGGGCACAGCTCATGCTCACAGGAAGGCCACGCCAGCAGGCGTGTGGAGAAAAGTAAACTTCCAGAAAACTTGTTCACAGGCTCTGTGAAATCAGCGCACAGTGGGGCTTTAAACATCTCTATGCTACTTATATAAACTGAGATAATATCTCCAGGAGCAATTTTGTGGTTCTTAGCAAAACAAAGGTATGAGGGTTCATGATTGTCCCTCAATTACTGCAGGTCATGGGCACATCAAACCATCAATTTTCAAGGTGGAAGGTTCTCTGTCCTGAAATGGCCGTGAAGGTCAGGAGTTCAGAGCCTCGCTCTCACCCCTTAGAGACAAAGGTTTTCTCAGGAAAGAAAAAGAAATAACAGAGAATGAAAAACGTAATGTCCATCTAGGGAAGCCATGGCCCTGAAGTCAGGTTTGTTGCTATCTGTGTTTTAACACATTTCTTTCTCATCCTGACTCGTTTCTATCAGATTCAGGGGAAACGAATGCATCTCACTGGTCTGGGAACACACAGGCCAGGCACACCTGTCCTCAGGACGCCTTATGTTTGAAACGCCAGGAAACACAGTGAAGGGAGAGGAGCGCAGACGCACCCGGGTCCCCACAGAAGTGCTGGCATGTTGCTTCGGTTTGGAAGTTGTTTAGGTTCCCCTGGCAGCCTCCATACACGAACTGCTCGCAGCGCCCGGAGCGGTGGTTGTAGAAGTAGTTCCTGAGGTATAAGCGGCAGGGCCCCATGTCCGCATCCAGGAAGCAGTAGTCGGGCCGCCCTGGGGGTTGAACGTGTGTCAGAGAGTTCTCCTTGGAGTAAGTTACTTATTCCTATTAAACTAGAGGGCCAGTGCACGAAATTGTGCATGGGTGGGGGTCCCCTCAGCCCAGCCTGCACCCTCTCCAATCAGGGACTCCTTGGGGGATGTCCAACTGCCAGTTTAGGCCCAGTCCTAGCAGTTGGACATTCCTCTCACAATCTGGGACAGCTGGCACTTAACTGCTCACCTGCCTGGCTGCCTGATCGCCCCTAACTACCCTACGCCCCCTGCCAGCCTGATCACTCCTAACCACCTCTTCCTGCTGGGCTGGTCACCCCCAACTGCCCAACCTCTCCTTGCTGTGCTGGTAGTCACCGGCTGCCCTCCCCGGCCAGCCTGGTTGTTCCATGCAGCCTGCTGTTCAGTCCTTTGGTCGTCCCTCACTGACCCCTCTGCTGGCCTGGTCGAACCACGCAGCCTGCGGTTCAGTCATTACTCACAAACCCCCCTGACGGCCTTGTCCCCCCATGCAGCGTGTTCGGTTGTTACTGTTACTGTGAGGGCATCCCGGAAAATATGCATATACCTCTATTGTTATATAGATGGACACATCACTGGTTGTGCTGAAGTCATTTAAGGAGCAAACATGGAGAGTTAACAACAAGAGGTGAACATGGAACAACGACACAGTGTGACAATGACCTGCGACATCGCCTGCGACATGTAGACTAAGGCAGATGCAACTATGATCGCAGGTGGCTGCCACTGGGATTCCATGTCCTAAATTTCTCGCCTCAATTAGTGGGGCATTCACTACCAAGTAGTCCATGATTTGACCGAATAAGATACGGGGACATTTTACACTCGGTTGGGAAGTATTCAATATTATGGCTAAAACATGGTTTACTTATTTTTTTTATTAAGTTTATGTGTATCCACATTTAGGAAAATCTATAAATAGTTCATGTTTTTAGGTGTGAGGTCTCATGAGGCAGGCGGGTGCCGCTGGGCGAGCGACAGAGACAGAGACGTGATCGATCTCAGCGCGCCCTCTTCCGGGACAACGGGAAAAGTGCTGACAGACTCTGAGAGTCTGAAAAGCTGGTGTAATTGTTTAAAAGCAAAGTTCTAATGTCCATCCCACTTCTGTTGTTAACATGTTATCATTCTGGCAGCAATTTCAAAAAAATAACGTTCTTACCCGGGACTACAGCATTCCTCTTGGCAGGGCCGGGAGTGGAGGAGGCAGTGGGCTGGGCGCTGTCATCTGTGGGGAGAGTGCAGCCAGTTAACACGCCAGACACGGGCACAGCTCATGCTCAGAGGAAGGCCACGCCAGCAGGCGTGTTGAGAAAAGTAACTTCCAGAAAGCTGGTTCACAGGCTCTGTGAAATCAGCGCACAGTGGGGCTTTAAACATCTCTATGCTACTTATATAAACTGAGATAATATCTCCAGGAGCAATTTTGGGTTCTTAGCAAAACAAAGGTATGAGGGTTAATGTTTGTCCCTCTGTTACTGTGTGTCATGGGCACATCAATGGATCAATTTTCAAGGTGGAAGGTTCTCTGTCCTGAAATGGCCGTGAAGGTCAGGAGTTCAGAGCCCCGCTCTTGCCCCTTAGAGACACAGGTTTTCTCGGGAAAGAAAACAAAATAACAGAGAATGAAAAACGTAATGTCCATCTAGGGAAGCCATGGCCCTGAAGTCAGGTTTGTTGCTATCTGTGCTTTAACACATTTCTTTCACATCCTGACTAGTTTCTATCAGATTCAGAGGAAGCGAATGCATCTCACTGGTCTGGGAACACACAGGCCAGACACACCTGTCCTCAGGACGCATGACGTTTGAAACGCCAGGAAACACAGTGAAGGGAGAGGAGCGCAGACGCACCTGGGTCCCCACAGAAGTGCTGGCATGCTGCCTCGCTTTTGAAGTGGTTTCGGTTCCCCTTGCAGCCTCCATACACGAACTGCTCGCAGCGCCCAGAGCGGTGGTTGTAGAAGTAGTTCTTGAAGTATAAGCCGCAGGCCCCCATGTCCGCATCCAGGAAGCAGAAGTCGGGCCGCCCTGGGGGTTGCACGTGTGTCAGAGAGTTCTCCTTGGAGTTACTTATTCCTATTAAACTAGAGGCCCAGTGCACGAAATTGTGCATTGGTGGGGGTCCCCTCAGCCCAGCCTGCACCCTCTCCAATCAGGGACTCCTTGGGGGATGTCCAACTGCCAGTTTAGGCCCAGTCCTAGCAGTTGGACATTCCTCTCACAATCTGGGACTGCTGGTTCCTAACTGCTCACCTGCCTGCCTGCCTGATCGCCCCTAAATACCCCCCGCCCTCTGCAAGCCTGATCACTCCTAAGTACCTCTTCCTGCTGGGCTGGTCACCCCCAACTGCCTACCCCGCCCTTGCTGTCCTGGTCGCCACCAGCTGCCCTCCCCCGCCCGCCTGGTTGTCCCATGCAGCCTGCTGTTCAGTCATTTGGTCGTCCCTCACTGACCCCTCTGCTGGCCTGGTGGCACCACACAGCCTGCGGTGCAGTCATTTCTCACTATCCCCCTGCCGGCCTTGTCGCCCCATGCAGCCTGTTCGGTTGTTACTGTTACTGTGAGGGCATCCCGGACAATATGCATATTCCTCTATTGTTAGTATAGATGGACAAATCACTGGTTGTGTTCAAGTCATTTAAGGAGCAAACATGGACAGTGAAACAACAAGAGGTGACCATTGAGCAACCACACAGTGTGACAATGACCTGCGACATCGCCTGCGACATGTAGACTAAGGCAGATGCAGCTAAGTTCGAACGTGGCTGCCACTGGGATTCCATGTCCTACATTTCACGCCTCAATTAGTGCGGCATTCACTACCAAGTAATCCATGATTTGACTGATTAAGATACTGGGATATTTTACTCTCGGTTGGGAAGTATTCAATATTATGGCTAAAACATGGTTTACTTATTTTTTTTATTAAGTTTATGTGTATCCACATTTAGGAAAATCTATAAATAGTTCATGTTTTTAGGTGTGAGGTCTCATGAGGCAGGCGGGTGCCGCTGGGCGAGCGACAGAGACAGAGATGTGATCGAGCTCACCTCGCCCTCTTCCGGGACAACGGGAAAAGTGCTGACAGACTCCGAGAGTCTGAAAAGCTGGTGTAATTGTTTTAAAGCACAGTTCTAATGTCCATCCCACTTCTGTTGTTAACATGTTATCTTTCTGGCACCAATTTCAAAAAAATAACGTTCTTACCCGGGACTCCAGCATTCCTCTTGGCACGGCCGGGAGTGGAGGAGGCAGCGGGCTGGGCGCTGTCATCTGCGGGGAGAGTGCAGCAAGTTAACACACGAGACACGGGCACAGCTCATGCTCACAGGAAGGCCATGCCAGCAGGCGTGTTGAGAAAAGTAAACTTCCAGAAAGCTTGTTCACAGGCTCTGTGAAATCAGCGCACAGTGGGGCTTTAAACATCTCTATGCTACTTATATAAACTGAGATAATATCTCCAGGAGCAATTTTGGGTTCTTAGCAAAACAAAGGTATGAGGGTTCATGATTGTCCCTCCGTTACTGCTTGTCATGGGCACATCAAACGATCAATTTTCAAGGTGGAAGGTTCTCTGTCCTGAAATGGCCGTGAAGGTCAGGAGTTCAGAGCCCCGCTCTCACCCCTTAGAGACAACGGTTTTCTCGGGAAAGAAAAAGAAATAACAGAGAATGAAAAACGTAATGTCCATCTAGGGAAGCCATGGCCCTGAAGTCAGGTTTGTTGCTATCTGTGCTTTCACACATTTCTTTCACATCCTGACTCGTTTCTATCAGATTCAGGGGAAACGAATGCATCTCACTGTTCTGGGAATACACAGGCCAGGCACACCTGTCCTCAGGACACCATATGTTTGAAACGCCAGGAAACACAGTGAAGGGAGAGGAGCGCAGGACACCCTCACAGTAACAACCAAATAGCAGGCTGCATGGAGCAACCAGGCCAGCAGGGGGGTTAGTGAGGGGCAACCAGGCTGGCAGAGGGGGTCAGTGAGGGGCGACAAGGCCGGTGGACATCCCCCGAGGGGTCCCGGATTGGAGAGGGTGCAGGCTGGGCTAAGGGGATTTCGTGCACTGGGCCTCTAGTTAATAATAATTATTATTAATAACAAATTAATAAATATTATTAATGTTTAGGTAATACTAATTAATTAATCAACTATTAAAAATAATGTAGAATAATTTTTCTAGACTCTTGTCATCGCTCGCACCTGTACCAATGGTCTGATGGAACTGAGTAGTAATTGTAAGGTAATGTGTTGGCTTTATAAATAAGTAGAGACCTCTTTTTAAATTCAGCTATTTAAAACATATATTTCCCATTACCATTTATTCCCTCTATCCCCACATACAGAAAACCCAATAACATTTTTAAATTTGATTTTTATCAATTTAATATTATTAGCAGAAGCCTAATTTTAAGTCAATGGCAGTTGTTTATAGAATCTCTAAGTAAGACAGTGAAAACTGTAACTGGGGCAAAAGGACATAACAATTTTCCCTTTAGGGGGCAGCAGTATTCTGTTAAACTAAAACTGATAACTATAAATACATTCAAAAAAGTGTCTTACTGCACCACAAATAATTTACTTTGAAAAAAGAAACATGGATGCATGTCACTTTAATATTTTTACATAAAACATTTTAAAAACATGATATAAAAGATAAGTTTGTACATGTATGATCATGTAGAAGGAAAATCAATTTTAGATTTCCTATAGTTTCAAAACTGAATTTTTGAAAGAGAAAAGATGCATATCATAAAAGTTGAATTAGATAATTTTATCAGTTCTCTCCTACCCTTCATATTTTTGTCCTAATAATCAGTTGAGTTAATGCCAAGTATTAGTCATATTAAAGTAATGTTAAAACTCTTCATAACAAGATAACGGAAATGTTAGTTTTCTGTGTCAGTCATAAAGGGATACGTGGGCCTTGCAATCTTGGAATGGATAAAATATGGCTTCCTAGATTTGAGTGGGCATTGTGCTGTTTGATTCATTCGACACCTTGGGTGGACATGTGAAGTTTATCTCAACCGCTAAGGCAGCTTTTAATTTTTCAAAAATCAGAGTATCATTTACAAAATACTACATCAACCTTTTGACTAATTTGATAACTGAATTGACTATTCTTTTCCATTAAAAGAAATCGAACCAATGGAAATTATAGAACAGTGAACTTTCAGACTTAAAGTTTAATAAGGTAGATACCATGTACCAGATTTATAATAACACATAGATCTTTACCTACAAAAGACAGCACCCAACCTAAGTTGCCATATATATGCACAAAAACGTTCTCTTATAAATCAACAATTTATGAGATTGGTTCTCACCGGTGATCCTCTAGCTTTTACTCTTAATGCATTTCGTAGTCCCGATCATCATGCCAATTCTTTTACATTTTCCGTATTAAGGCTATACCTACTCATCCCAAGTTCAACCTGCTTTTTAGTAGTTGTGCCACCAGGTGGGAGCAGTGCCCACAAAAATGAAAGGCCTGCCTGGTGGTAGTTCTGGGAATAACAGCTAAATGTTTACTGAGGAATCACTATGCCTCAGACAGTTTGCAATTATATCATTTAATTACCTCAGCAAATGTATGACCTAGGCATTGTGATCTCCATGTTACAATCCGCAAAATAGAAGTTGCAGAAATTAATTGCTCAATCTGCGCCCTGAGTGATGACTTGGGAATATCCCCTCTGGGGTTACAGCTGGTGTCTCCCGCGTTCTGAGTGAGCAGTGACATTGTCAGAGATCTGTGCGGCTGAGAGTCATAAACGGGCACTTAGGGAACGCATGCAGCTTGATTATATAATTTCCAATCAATCGTTTTTCTTTCTAAAATTCATTTTATAGAAACAAAAGAAAAGCTTTCAATGATGAAAGTAGGGGATATTTTTACACCGATTTCCTAAGGAAAACACTAAGGACTAACTTTCATTGACTACATTTTATTAATGATTAGCTAATTATTCATCTCTCCGTTCCCGTCTTGATGTATTTTTCCTTTGTGAATTCCAGATTTTGCGCAGTGACCTGTGACCCACACTTGAGCTCAGTGACCCTGGGGTGGGGGTGGCAGACATAGTACCTGGCATCCCACTCAAGAAGGATGGGAGTCAGTCCTGTTTTCATTGCAGACTTGGGAGGAGCCATCTATATATATTATTGATTTCAGAGAGGAAGGGAGGGAGAGGTAGAAACATCAGTGATGAGAATCATGGATCAGCTGCCTCCTGCACACCCCACACTGGAGATGGAGCCTGCAACCCAGGCATGTGCCGTGACCAGAATCGAACCGAGGACCCTTCAGTCCGCAGGCCAGTGCTCTATCCATTGAGCCACACCAGCGTGGTCTGGGTGAGCCTCCTTGAAAGTCAACCATCTTGTGTTGAACGTGTGTCAGGCACGTACCGGCTTGGCAGGCATGTGGGAGTCGGGGTACGGGGTGGCAGCAACCCCCTTTCAAGAAATAGTCAAAACGTTGGGCTGCTGAGCAAAAGTATCTGAGCTACTTCAGCTTTGAAGGGTCGGGAAACTTTCCTGGGACGTGAAGATGAGACTTGGAGAAGTGTGGGCAGTGACAGGACTGAGCTAAGGCCATGACACTGGAGAAGGCATCCCGGGCAATGCCATGGGGCTTGAACGTGATGCAGCCAGACCATGTGCTTGGTGGCCGTCGCTGTCCCTGGTTTATTGTTCTCTGCCTCACCCTGTGAGGATCATAGCCTCACCCTCTCCCCCATCCCCCTCCGCCCCCCTCCCCTGCTCGCAGTGCTGGAGGGAAGGCCTGTGATAGCATGTGGGGACTGTGTGTCCTGGCTGTTGGAATCCTCACTGGCCTGGAACTTATTGGGAGCCCAGAGCCTGAGGAACGTACTAAGGATTGGCTGTTTGTTCACTCCCCGGTGGGAAGCTGGCATTTCTCACAAAGGAGGAACATGGACAGGATCTCTTCAGCCAGGCGTGCCTTTGCAGTTGGGGGAACAAAGGCCGGGCGTGGTGCTACTCCTGGTGCCATGGACCAGGAGTCGGGAGCTACAGAGCTCAGGCCTTCGGCAAAGCTGTGTGCAGAGCTCAGGCCAGGGACAAGCAGGCCTGCCCGACTCTCCACCGTGTGAAGGTGACCGTCCCCCCTTCCCCCCTGCATGCCCGGCCCATCCTCCCTCCCCGGCAAGGGATGCTCTTAGAGTTCATCAACACTGTGTTGATCTTATCATCTTTGTGTTTCTAAGAAGTTTCTCGATTTCGTCCTCCTGGCAGGTTGGCCTGATGAGAAATAGTTGACTAATGACTTGGGAGAAACGCATGTTGTTCTATAACATGACAGGCCATAATTTTAATTAAATAGTGTAATTCTGCAAAATGACTTTGGCCTAAAGTGACAAATGGTACCTCCCAAATGGAATTGGTTCGGATATGGGATCGTGTTTAATGAAAAGATTAATTAAAAACAAAACAGCGGGAACTGGAGAAGACGCTCAGCCAGGCCGCTCACTGGTCTTCAAGTCCTGCTCGGTGCCCAGCTGGGGGCGTGCAGGAGGCAGCCAAGCAATTTCTCTCCTCTCTCCCTTCTCTCTGAAATCAATAAAAACTGTCTTTGAAAAGTTTTAAAAGCAAAGCAAAACAAAGAAAGAAACAAACACCCCACCAAGTGCCTGCTCAATGGGAACTTCACATCAAGGTTCGATGACAGTCAGGAGCTGGGGGTGGAGGGGGGTGGCTGTACAGGTTACCTGTGCCGTCCGCGTCCTCCTCGTCCTCCCTCTCAGGAGCAGCGTCCAGGGGGCGGAAGGCACCGCTGAGCAGCAGACACACGGAAGCCCAGAGGAGGGTTGTCTTCCTCATCGCACCACGTCTGCAACACATGCCGGGACCTGGTGAGCCATGTGTACAACACAGACCGGACCTGGTGAGCCACGTGTATAACACAGACCGGACCTGGTGAGCCACGTCTACAACACAGGCCGGACCTGGGGAGACACGTCTACAACACAGGCCGGACCTGGGGAGACACGTCTATAACACAGGCCGGACCTGGTGAGCCACGTCTACAACACAGGCCGGACCTGGTGAGACACGTCTACAACAGAGACCGGACCTGGTGAGACACGTCTACAACACAGGCCGGACCTGGTGAGCCACGTCTACAACACAGGCCGGACCTGGGGAGACACGTCTATAACACAGGCCGGACCTGGTGAGCCACGTCTATAACACAGGCCGGACCTGGTGAGTCACGTCTACAACACAGGCCGGACCTGGTGAGCCACGTGTACAGCACAGACTGGACCTGGGGAGCCACATTGGTAACACAGACCAGTTATGGCAAACCGGGAGCTAGAGCAGGACGAGCAGGAATCACAGGCCTCCTCCAATTGCCTGGCCTCTCACGGGTCTCCCGTACTCTCCATCCACAAATGCCGGGGCTCACATACCCAGGGAACACAGTGAATCATATTCAAGTACACGGGTCCCAGTGCAACTTGAAAATGCCACTTAAAATGGCGATACTGGGAGACATGGTGCTTGCTGGTCAGCCGGCTGCATGTGCATGGAGATGATCAGCGAGGACAGAACCAAGGACGAGCACAACCAAAGGTTTCCAGGCAGATTCTCATCCTGAGGAACACTCGCTGCAGCAGCTGAGAGGCAGTATTAATTATAAAATAAAGATACGCAGCGCACTCCTCTCTCCCCCACAGAAAGACCCGTTGTCACTGGCAGTCCGTTTGCCATGTCACCCTCAGAGCTGCTCTCCTTTCTCAGTCAGGGAGAAGTACATTGTCATTTCCCTTGCATTTTCTATGAATCCAACTTTCATTCCCTGATCTGTCTTTCCCTTTGCTCTGGTTCTTTTTTAAAAGAAGAAACACATTTTCTAAAATTTCACCTTTGTTTCCGTGAAAATACATTTCTGTTTTTTGAACCAGTTCCCTGACTAGGCCTCCTGTGAAACCGCGAACAGAGCATCTGGCTGGTCCCTTCTCCCAGCTCTTCCCCTCCCTTGGGGGGGTGTCGTCTGGTGCAGGAGAGGGGCCCCCCTCCCTTGGGGGGCGTCATCTGGTGCAGGATTGGCCCACGGGGAGTGGTTTGAAATGATGGGCGAACACACTGACGCCGAGGGAAGCAGATCTAGCGAGAGAGTGACATTTCCTGTTCGAAACGATGGGAAGAGCCAGAGCAAAAAGCAGTGGGAAAGCGTCCCAAAATAATTTGTAAACGCCATTTCTTCCTCGGAATCAAAGGTAAGAAGACACCTGCTGTGTTCAAGTGGCATTATGGCAAGAGACGAGGAGGGCACATGCCGTCTGGCCCTGATACTCCAAAGGCAGGGAGGAGAGAGACCCCCCACCCCCACTCCATGCTCTACAGGCAGGGAGGAGAGAGACCCCCCCCACAAGCCTGGGAACGCAGGGACAGTGCTGCGTCCAGCACACATCGGAGATCTCGTGTGCATCCATGCGTCCAGCACACGTCGGAGATCTCGTGTGTGTCCATAGCATATGCAGCCACAGCTCACAGCTCCAAGGCGCGGGGCCACGTGGGAAATAACAGCCATACATGCCGTTTTGCTGGAAGCTTCCTTAAAGGCACTGATGAAGGTGTAACCGACTTCCTCGCAGCCCTCTGGAAATGGGAAGACCTATCTGCTTTGTAGGCAGGAGCAGGATTCTATCCTTTCTAAGTCACGGCAGACTCCGCTCGAGTCCACCGGCACACATGTATGTGTCTGTGTGGCTGCATGTGTCGTTTTTGAAGAGCCTGTTGGCGGAGCTTCCCATCTCTGTCCTGCTGTTGGAAAGTGGTTTGCAGGGCTCTGCGTCGGTTGGGTTGCCCGAGTGCAGTCCTGTCCTGCGCCGAGTGTGAGTGGCAGCAGGGGCTTCTGTCCGTGCTGAGCAGCTGGGGTCAGATGCCTGCTGAGGAACAGGATGCAAATGTGGGGTCTAAACCCACCAACTTAGTGTCTTTAAAAGTGGAGGCCTACAGTATTGTCCAATGTTAGTAGTTTAATTTTTTAATTTTATATATTTTTTTGAAGAATAGTTGAGAGAGAGAGGGAGAGAGAGAAACACCGATGTGAGAGAGCAGCATCGATCGGCTGCCTCCTGCGCGCCCCCCACTGGGGATGGAGCCCACAACCCGGGCCTGTGCCCTGACTGGGAATCGAACCGCGACCTCCTGGTGCTCAGGACGACACCCAACCAACTGAGCCACACCGGCCAGAGCCGTTTTAGTGGTTTTAGACTTTCTTGGTTGCAAGAATCAGAAGCCAGCTCGACAGTTCAGGTCAAAAGGTCATAAGCGCAGGTTCGAAGCTGGAGCTCAGAACCGCCTCGAGTCAGGGCCCTGCACCCGAGCCCTCATGGCTGCTGTGTCCTTCGACAGTCATCGCGGGGCGATGCCCGCTCGGCGGGTCCCAGTTGGTGTTGGGGTCTTATGTCACATCATGAGGATCTGCTGGGAGATGTGCTGACTTTGGAAACCACTGCTGAGTGTACAGTAGGCCGACAGATCAGCCTCCATCAGTGTAAAAGCACCGCTGGAATATTTCCCTCACTGTTTGACTACAGTTTCCTGCTTTAAGATTATTTACCTCATTTTTTTTCTACAGAATTATAAGTTTTATTATTTTACTTGCTTTCCGTATGATTGATGTGTTATTGCTCAGACAACACTAGCCTCTCCTCCAAAAGGACTTGCAAACTTTTTCGTTGTGCGTTCCTTCTTCTAGAGCAGTGGTTCTCCACCTTCCTAACGCCGCGACCCTTTAATACAGTTCCTCATGTGGTGGTGACCCCTGACCATAAAATTATTTTCGTTGCTACTTCATAACTGTAATGTTGCTACTGTTATGAATCGTCATGTAAATATCTGATATGCAGGATGTATTTTCATTGTGACAGATTGAACATAATGAAAGCATAGTGATTAATCACAAAAACAATATGTCATTATATATGTGTTTTCCGATGGTCTTAGGCGACCCCTGTGAAAGGGTCGTTCAACCCTCAAAGGGGTCGCGACCCACAGGTTGAGAACCGCTGCTCTAGAGTTTATAACTGTTCAGTGATCTGACTCTTATGATTTACTTAAACCTTCCTCGGGCAGAGCGCTTAATGCAGGCATGGCAGCCCAGGCACGGCCACCCATCAGCGGCCGGCACATTTATAACACAGGGTCCTAACGAGTCGGCCCAAGTGGGCGCCATCATGTCTCCTTCAAACTTCTCCCTCCACACCATCTGTTATGTGTGACTTACAAGACACATTGTGACAGCCAGCCCAGGTTGCTCCAGGCATTTATTCGAATTTATCTGTTACAGAGGACCTGTTTGTTCTAAAGAAAATTTAAAGGATGGAAATTATTAGTATCTTCTCCAAACATCTAAGTCAGGATAGATGGTCCATTGTCTTCTTTTCAAAACCAAGTATAATTTTTGCGCCTTGATCAATAAGTGGTCAGATCAGTTTTGGGGGTGGGCACCTCTCTTTGATGTATTGGCTTCAAAGTCTCTTGCTAAGTAAATGTGTTTCCGAACGAACATGACAAGGGGCTATGTTCCCATAATATATTTTTGGAACATATCTTGAGAAATAAAGTTATAGATTAGAAAGAGTCAGTAGATTTTCTGAACCATAAAAATACTGAAAAAGTCTGACGTGCTTTGTGTCTTAATAAAATCCAGAATAGGCCTGGCCGGTGTAGCTCAGGGGTTGAGCATCGACCTATGAACCAGGAGGTCACATTTGGATTCCTGGTCGGGGCACATGCCCGGGTTTCAAGCTTGATCCCCAAGGTGGGGCGTGCAGGAGGCAGCTGATCAATGATTCTCTCGCATCATTGATGTTTCCATCTTTTCCTGTCTGAAATCAATAAAAAAAAATAAAAATAAATAAAAATAATTAAATCCAGGGTATGCAACAAGATGTTGAGAGGGAAACATAAGTGGAACTAGCAGCTAGAATGTTTCAGAGGATTGAAGTTATGAACAAGGGCCTTAGTGGAACCATAAGGAAGGGCAGCTGTGAGGGACTCTGAGTTAAGTATGGATAAGGTTGAGGAGTTGAGGATTTATAGGATACGAGGGTAGAGGATTCCGAAGTGAAGAGTCACGCTAGTCATGCGGGTAGGTGAGTTGATACAAGCATCAGTCACTGTGCACGTTAGGGGTAAAGTGCGTCCTGGACGGACTGCGTTAGCAGGATGAGTGCGCCTGTGAAGGGCCGGGAAGGAGGTGAGGCAGGGCTGGGCGACGTGTGGGGTATCATCACCCCGACGAGGGAAGATCATTTCACAGGGAAAGGCCAGGGGCCCCTTCAGTTCTTCTGAGCTCTCCTTTCAGCTCCACTTCCTGTCAGTCTCCCCCAAATTACCCAGCTTCCTGAACGCCCCCCCCCAGTTCCTTGGCTCCATTCAAACCGCTCACTCTTGAACAAACGGTACTCGTTCCGGATTTTGTGCTCTGAGTTGCTGTTTCTGTGATGGGAGCATCTTCTAGGAGCCATTGGGATGCAGGCTCCCTTCTTTCAGTCAGAACCTGTCAGCTCTCCTCTCCTCACAAGCTCTTTAAACTCCTTATTTTAAAAAAAATCACCCCTAATCTCGCCGTTATTCTCTGTTCCAATAACCTGGCCCCCCTGCACCCCGCAAAGTTTTTAAAATCTTTTTATTGTTGAGTTATAGGAGACCTTTACATATTAGGAATTAGTTCTTTGCCAAATCTATATCATAAAGATTTTTATCTAGGTCTGTGGCTTATCTTTTCATTCTCATATAAGTATCTTTTGATGAGCACCAATTTTTAAAATTTAAAGCTTGATTTCTTAATCATGCAATACCGATGA